CACCCACACACACACACACACACAGCTTCACACATCTTAACAATTTGCGTAAGCGCAGAGCAAAGCTAAAGCCAATTAGAGCTCCCATTGAAGCTGATTCAATTGTCAGCAGCAGCAGCAGCAGCAGCGAGACTTATGGCACAATAAGTAAGTACTTAGCTTCCTATTACACACACATACACCCACACCACACCACACACACCTAAAGCGGTTTACAATGGCCAGACCTAGGTCAGTTAATGAACTTCCCATTGGATATTTATCGCAGCTTAGAAGCTGCTCTCTTAGCCAAACCGGTTGACGGCTCAAGTTCAAGCCCAACCAGAATTGAAATAACCAAAAATAGTCAAAAGTAAAATAATAAAAAAATAAAAAAAAAGGTAATCAACGAAAATAACTACAGTCCAGCTTCGTATAAAAGCACTCGTTCAATGCCCCAAACATCAGCAGTTGCAATCGACTCACAACTCCAACCAAACCAAACCCAACCAAACTCCAAAATGTTCAAGCTCGTAAGTTCCWCAGTTGAATTGAGTGTGTGAGTGGCCTGGGGTATAAATGCTCTTCTCCTCTTTGCAGATCGCCTTGTTTGCCTGTGTTGCTGCGGCTTCAGCTGCTCCTGGTCTGTTGGCCGCCACCCACTCCATTGTGCAGCCCGCTGTGCTGACCAAGACCGCCTACGTGGACACCAGCGCCTCCTCGGCCATCACCCACCAGAGCAATGTGAATCTGGTGCGCAAGGTGCCCGTTGTCCAGACCCTGCACGCTGCTCCAGTCGTCCATGCTGCTCCAGTGGTTCACTCCGTTCCCGTCGTCCATGCCGCTCCCGTTGTCAGCACCTACGCCGCTGCTCCAGTCGTGCACGCCGCCCCCCTGCTGCACTCTGTCCCCGTGGTGCACTCAGCCCCTCTGGTCAAGACCGTCGTCAGCGCTCCAGTTGCCTACACTGCCCTCCACAAATAAGCCGTAACGATCTATRTAGCGAWCTATGTGTAAAGTGAACAAAATAAAACTGAATTTTTAAACTAAAACTCGTAAAACTTTTTTTATTTTGATTCCTAGGGAAGGAATCAGGCAAGGAGTCCGATTTTTATTTCTTTGGAAATAAATTTATAATTTTGTATATAAATCTATAATAAATATCGATTTTTATGGTTTTTAAATATATAAAATATAACCAAAAATTGGAATGAATTGAAATAAAATTAGAATTGAAATTAAGTTTGATTGGAACTGAATCGGAATTATTTATATGAAGTAAAAATTGTTCCTGTAGAATATACACAGACTTGATAGCATTATGCTCACCTCTGATTGGACTGGTTGGGAGTCCAATTGGAATTGTAATGAGCTGTAAAACTTTACACTTCAACAGCTCTAGTCCGACTGCAGAGCTCCATCATATACTAGGAATCTGTTTCTATGGCATGCCTAACAGACAGTTCTAAACATAGACAAGACCTTTTTTCTTTTGTTTAAATTAATTACAATATTCATTGAGTGAACAGAATAAAATGAAATGCATAACATGAAATATTGTGAACTAAAATAGCACAACATATTTTTCATGGGAATTAAATTCAATGGCGTAGAGTATAAAAGAATAAATTGTAAAGCTTTTCCGTGCAGGAAATACATTTTAATAGAAAAGAATTTCTACATAATATANGCCGCTGCTCCAGTCGTGCACGCCGCCCCCCTGCTGCACTCTGTCCCCGTGGTGCACTCAGCCCCTCTGGTCAAGACCGTCGTCAGCGCTCCAGTTGCCTACACTGCCCTCCACAAATAAGCCGTAACGATCTATATAGCGAACTATGTGTAAAGTGAACAAAATAAAACTGAATTTTTAAACTAAAACTCGTAAAACTTTTTTTATTTTGATTCCTAGGGAAGGAATCAGGCAAGGAGTCCGATTTTTATTTCTTTGGAAATAAATTTATAATTTTGTATATAAATCTATAATAAATATCGATTTTTATGGTTTTTAAATATATAAAATATAACCAAAAATTGGAATGAATTGAAATAAAATTAGAATTGAAATTAAGTTTGATTGGAACTGAATCGGAATTATTTATATGAAGTAAAAATTGTTCCTGTAGAATATACACAGACTTGATAGCATTATGCTCACCTCTGATTGGACTGGTTGGGAGTCCAATTGGAATTGTAATGAGCTGTAAAACTTTACACTTCAACAGCTCTAGTCCGACTGCAGAGCTCCATCATATACTAGGAATCTGTTTCTATGGCATGCCTAACAGACAGTTCTAAACATAGACAAGACCTTTTTTCTTTTGTTTAAATTAATTACAATATTCATTGAGTGAACAGAATAAAATGAAATGCATAACATGAAATATTGTGAACTAAAATAGCACAACATATTTTTCATGGGAATTAAATTCAATGGCGTAGAGTATAAAAGAATAAATTGTAAAGCTTTTCCGTGCAGGAAATACATTTTAACAGAAAAGAACTTCTACATAATATTTATATTAAATGAGAAAAAGTATTGAAAGGCATCAAAATGCTGTTGGTGAATAACTCTATATAAGTCATTCTAAGTATCCATCTATTCATATGCATAGGCAATCATATATTTATGTTAGATAAAATAAGGCCTCAATAAACCTACTGAGACTATTACAATACACTCATATTCCCTTGTACACTTAAATAAAAAATCGCGATAAATTGAAAAAAAAAAATTTTTTAATTGTATTCCCTTGAAAGAAATTTGCTCTCAATAATTCTCGATAATTTGAATTTATGCGTAAATGGAAAAAGCTGATCCCTTTTCGAATTATCGGGATTCTACTGTATATTTATTACAAACTTTTTAAATAAAGAAAAATATATCTGGTTATATACTTCTATATTTAAATAAAAAGTAATTAAGAAATAAAATAAGCAATTCTTAGCTTCAGTAAACACTCCCAATTTATTTCAAATAATCAACAAATCAATCAGAAAAGGTTCTTAGTGATGATAGACGTGGGCGACGGGAGCGACGGCAACATGCTTAACCACTGGCGTGGCGATGGTCTTGATCACGGGTGCAACCACTGGGGTGATGATGGACTTCTGGTGGATCTGGGTGTGGCTCTGGTGGGAGACAGCGTGGGGCAGAGTCTTCACAACGGACACGGGCGCCACATAGGTCTGGTGCTGGACGACTGGAGCCACGTGCTTCACAACGGGCACCACGGGAGCCACATGGCTGACAACAGGCACCACGGGAGCCACTTGCTTGACCACGGGCACCACTGGAGCCACCTGCTTGACGACAGGCACCACTGGAGCCACCTGCTTGATCACGGGCGTGATGACCGCCTGGTTGTGGAACTGCGTGAAGCTCTGGTGGGAGGTGGCCACGGGTGCGCTGTGCACCACTGCGCCTACCTTGGCAACGACGGGTGCTGCCACCACATGATGCTGCTCCACGAAACCAGGAGCGGCAGCGGCAATAGTGGCCAGGGCACAGATAGCAATCTATAAAGTTGAAACAGGATTAGACGAAGTCAACGATCCTTAGTCCCTTTAGCAACTTACGAAACGGAACATTTTCTAGAGTTGGGTTTTTGGTTGGATTGCAGCTGACGAGAGACTGTTGCTGTTGAGGCAGCTGCTCCGGACTTTTATATCGTCAAAATGTTTCCCCAAGTGTCCTTCAAGCAAACGCAAACAAACCCGAGTCAAACACAAACACAAACGCAAACAGACCAAAGCAAACGCAAAGCAAATTTGCAAACTTGTTTCTAGCAAATTGCTTATCATTTTATTATTTCATACTTTTTCATTTATTTATTTTTTTTTTTTAGCNAATAATCAACAAATCAATCAGAAAAGGTTCTTAGTGATGATAGACGTGGGCGACGGGAGCGACGGCAACATGCTTAACCACTGGCGTGGCGATGGTCTTGATCACGGGTGCAACCACTGGGGTGATGATGGACTTCTGGTGGATCTGGGTGTGGCTCTGGTGGGAGACAGCGTGGGGCAGAGTCTTCACAACGGACACGGGCGCCACATAGGTCTGGTGCTGGACGACTGGAGCCACGTGCTTCACAACGGGCACCACGGGAGCCACATGGCTGACAACAGGCACCACGGGAGCCACTTGCTTGACCACGGGCACCACTGGAGCCACCTGCTTGACGACAGGCACCACTGGAGCCACCTGCTTGATCACGGGCGTGATGACCGCCTGGTTGTGGAACTGCGTGAAGCTCTGGTGGGAGGTGGCCACGGGTGCGCTGTGCACCACTGCGCCTACCTTGGCAACGACGGGTGCTGCCACCACATGATGCTGCTCCACGAAACCAGGAGCGGCAGCGGCAATAGTGGCCAGGGCACAGATAGCAATCTATAAAGTTGAAACAGGATTAGACGAAGTCAACGATCCTTAGTCCCTTTAGCAACTTACGAAACGGAACATTTTCTAGAGTTGGGTTTTTGGTTGGATTGCAGCTGACGAGAGACTGTTGCTGTTGAGGCAGCTGCTCCGGACTTTTATATCGTCAAAATGTTTCCCCAAGTGTCCTTCAAGCAAACGCAAACAAACCCGAGTCAAACACAAACACAAACGCAAACAGACCAAAGCAAACGCAAAGCAAATTTGCAAACTTGTTTCTAGCAAATTGCTTATCATTTTATTATTTCATACTTTTTCATTTATTTTATATTTTTTTTTTTTTTGCGGGGTCAGCATTGAACTTGAACTGGGACATTGCTGGATAAGGCGGGCGGAAGGGATCTCTTCCCATTAAACAGAGCTGAAGTTGCGCTTTGTAGGCTAGTCGGTAGTCGATGTGGGAATATTAAAAGATTATTTCCTAAAGTGAACAATACTAATATATTTTAAGAAAAATAAAAATAAATGTATATTTTCAAATGTATTCAGCATATTGAGTAATGATGGTAAGATATTGTTCAATCTCAATTGCTAGAATCGCTTAGTTGGCAAAATGTCTGTTATCTGAAACCCTGAACTCCGCTTTCAGCTATTCTGCAATCCATCATTTCATAGATATGCAATGTAGGACGAATTGGAAATAAATAACATAAAATAGTCTATTTTAGCATCAATCATAAGCAATATAGAAAAGTGTGTTCTATCATCAATCATCCAGTCATCAATCAATGGATGCATAATAAAATCCTATTTCAATCAAAGTTTCTCATATTTTCAATTAGTGTTTCAACATATAAAATAAGAGCTTTCCAGATATTATAGTATATTGAACAGCCAACGCTATATAGAACTTATACGTTTTAACATAGCCGACTTTAATCAATCACAGCTGTAGCAGACTTAATATATTAGCAGACACTCGAAGTATATCCATCTAACATCGCTTAAAGCTTTTGCTATCTACATACGTCAATTTATCATAACTTTATGCTAAGGCTTTGCATGCCTGACATACGAAGCGAATTTGAATTAGAGAACATTTCGTGCTCGTGTCACGATATCAATCATTCGAGTACAAGAAAAAAGGCCTACTTCAATCTGTCAAAGCTCCGCTTGACACACGCACACACATACAGACACACCCACACAGATCAACCTTCGTGAAGGCTCAAAGCGCCGTCTTAATGCCAGCCAAGTCTAGGGCTCCGACGCCGCTGAGCGAAGGTCGAACAGATTGTGAATATAAGATGAAATGCACATTTATTTCACAAAGCAGTGGGAGCGAAAGAGACAGACAGAGGGAGACAGAGAGACACAGCGAGCAGWCGTCAATGAGCGAGAGAGCATTRAGAGATTACATACATATATAAAAGTGCGGCGGTATCCGTTGGGACGGGTCAGTCGCTGGCCGACAGCATTTCAGATGCGACAGCGATTGACCAGACACGACCATCCTGCGATTGAGGAGTAGGAAGAGAAGAACAGATCAGAAACAAGAGTCGAGAGCAGCAAAGAAGAAAATTTGCTTGGGTTGGGTTTGGTTTTAGGTGGGACGTTTTTGCATTGCTGGATTATTGTACAAGTCAGAAATTTGAATTGGGCGTGAGTGTGGTGATCGGCACGAAGTTCTCATAGTCCGAATCGATTTCCGGCAAATAGTCCAGAAACTCAGAAACATGATAGATGCGATAGGTTCTATTACCATTCTGTTGATTCTCCGATTCTGTGTCGCCGTTCGTCGACGACTTGTGCCGCTTGCTCTTCGCCGGTAGGAACTCGGTGCCGATGCCGAGCCGGGCCAGGGACGGATTCGTGTACTGCGAGCGCCAAGTCAAGTTGCTCTTCTCATAGAAATCCAGAGCGGACTCCTCCAGAGCCGCCTCCGAGGCCTGCACCAGCTTCAGCATCGCCCCAGGCGCCGGCAGTCGGGAATAACGACGAGCTAGCGACATGATCTATACCTATTTATGGCCGGTTGGGTTCTTTTTCTTTTTTTTTTTTTTGGTTTTATAAGAATTAAAAACAATTTGTAAGAATATGATATAAAATTTAGGTTATTTCAGTATATTTCCGAGTAGGTTCGTACCCCTGACAATACTTATGTACGTATACGTATAACACACAGCCTAGCTCAATGACATTCGACTACMAAYACTCTCAGGGCACATAGACGGGTCGAATTTGGAGTGCTTCATGGCCAGCTGAGAGGCTAGTGGAGCTGGAGTTCGTATGAAAGGTGCGATTCACATTCGTGGGCTCCACATAGCCCAGGGCACGGCCCATCGGCGCAATGACAAAGCGGGTGTGCGTCTGCGAGGAGCCCTGGTACGAGACGACCGAGGGAGCCGAGTCGATCAGCAGCATCTGCTTGGGCCTGGCCAAGGCCAGAGCCAACAGTCCCAACAGTCCCAGCAGCAGCTGCAAGCCGATTCAAGCATGAATATRGATGCCATATAGTCTTTAGATCGTAAACTCACCAAGAGCCGCATTATCTTCGTCTAAGCAATTGAGTTGGGGGCGGGGGCGGGGGCGGCTCTAGATTTATTTTTCCGCTGCT